CTTCCTCAACTATCAAACATACTACACTATTTGGCTCTCTATTTATTTTTTATCTTTTGCATATGAGCTGATCCATAAGGAAGAAAACAATAAGGACAATTGTTCTGGACCAAGTATTGCCATACACTACAACTTCAACAGACATTTCTAGATAAGACTCTCTTTTTATTTACTTATTTTATCTGGACTATTCGTTTTATACTCAGTTTCACTTGGCGCAGCCCTTATTTTTATTATTTCATCACCAATGTCTGCTAAATATTGGAGCCAAATTGTGTTTTTTTTTTCTATTTTGACATTTACACATATTACAAGGTTGTTTTTTTTAATGTGTATTTCGTAAATCTGGTGTGTGCTTTTCCTGTAGAGAACCCCATATTGTGTTCAGCTACATCTGCTGAGTACAACGATACCCCCACTGAATGCCTTTGGCACTATTCTGTGAAGCTACAATGCCATATAAGAGACAAGGCTATTTAAGTTGCTTTAGTTAGAATTTTCATAGATTGATTTGATGGGCCTATGTCTCATTTTGGGGTATTACAGCTATTTGACTGTTCAAATAACTCCACAAAGTGCTTCCATTTGAGATAGTGCCAGATAAGCACTCACACTTTTTAGAGCTATATAAGCTCTATTTAGGGAGCCTGGACTCAATCCCCATCTATGGATTTCTTTGTGTGGAGCAGCACAGCTAGGCTTTCAGGTGGATGTGGTCAGCACATAAAAGGAAAGAGATAAGCCATATGGTGTAGTATGTAGGTTTATAAAAAAAGAAAAAGATAAATCTACTTACATCTACTAGAGCAATAACCTGCTCTAGTGAAATGGTTTTCAGGTGGAACAATCCCCACCTAGATATCCAGAATCAGCAGCTTCCACCTGAAGCACATTTTACTTGAGCAGGTCATTGCTCTAGTAGATGTAAGTAGGTTTATCTTTTTCTTTTTTTATGCCACTTGTATCTCCTGAGGAAGTCCCTGGAGGGACAAAACGCATATGACTACAGAACTGACAGCAAATCCATGCTTTTAAAATTACATGTAAGCAAATAAATTTGTTATGCACTTTATTTCAATATTTAATATTGAATAGACCCTGGGCAAGCATTTGCTTGGGCCTTCTGGACACACTCCCTGGCATGCAATCACACCTTACACCCCAATGCAGTGGCAGAACTAAAGTAAAAAGAGTCCTGGTGCAAGAATTTTATTGAGCCCCCCCAATTGCAAGGTTGGACAAAAGGTCATGCAACTCCAACAATGCTTTGACAGCTGGGGCTCTACCAATGTCCCATGCTTGCAGGGTTGTATTTAGCACTGTGTTTGTGTGTTGTAATGTAAGCATGTTTTTGCATGGAGTGTGTGAATGTGTTTGTGTGTGGTGTTAGAGTTTTAATGCAAGTGTGCATTTATGTGTAGTGTTAGTTTTTGAATCTAGGGATGAGTTTATATATAATTTTGCTGCTTAACAAGGAGGTTTGTTTGTATGTAGTGTTGATGCTTCAATGCAGGAGTGTGTTTGTATGTAGTGTTGATGTTTCAATGCAGGAGTATGTTTGTATGTAATGTTAAAGTTTGAATGGAGGGGTTTATTGGCATTTAATACATAAGAGATAAGAAGGAATAAGTGACACTAAAATTGTAAACCAGGTGCTGCTAGAACAAACACCCATGTGTATTGTCACTCAAGTACACTTAAAATGTGATACACATGAAAGCAAAGATAAGGTGATCTATGCACCCATAGGTTCTATTTACCTTTCAATATATTAACTTGGTAACAACAGAAATATATAATTTCCTGTATGATACATAAACATAAAACAGCACATAGTGTAATCTGAGTAAAAAATGGGTGTCAATATATTCAAAATCAGAACACACAATTTTCAGAGCCCATTAAAAGTTGGCACTGAATTTATATGGCATATCTTCTCCTCATAGAGACTCAGAATAGATTCTCCAATGGTGGAACTTCCCGAAATTTAGTGCTATTACAAACAGGAACTCCAAAGTCCAAAGTAAGTATAAGTAATCACACTATTTATTTGTACATGTGACACAATCCGTATCAACCCATTGTGGGCCTTCTATAGGTGCAGGCATAAGTTCTAATGCACATAAGCAGATTTATATAGATCAAACATACAGATTTAATTGTTCACACATGTGTAATAACCAAAAGGGACTCCCACCACCAAATAAGGTCCGGACCGGAAACATCATGCCATTCCCAATTTGGCAACGTATCCGGTTTCGGTCTGGAATCATCCCTCCACTATATGGACCATCCTTCCACCGATACTGTTCATGCTAATTCCAAGTCTTCCTATGACGTACTTCCTCTTGCAGGGAGGCGTTTTCGGCAATCACAAACTTAGTCCTTCTGGGGTGGAGTTCATTCAACACTTTTCTGCATTCACGATTAAATAAGATATCTGAAAATACTTACATACCATTTTAAAAGAGGGCAGAAGCCCATAGTCCACATTTTAAATGTAAGGACAAGCAGAGAATAGAAGGGAGAAAGAAAATGATATTTAAAACTAGTTAAAAAATAAATTATTCAAAGAGCTTTAGGTCTAAAGTGCGCAGTTCAAACATCCACTTAGCCTCCTGGGTACTCAATTTTTTTGCCACATCCCCTGCTATCCAATGTACATTTACCTTCTCTATTTACTTTGTATCTGAATCTAATACTCTAAAAAGTGTTTAGATACACTATGATCAGTGAAGCCCTTTAGTGAACCCCTTTTTAATATATCTTATGTGCTCACTAATCCTGATTTTAATTGGTCTGGAGATTTTACCTATGTATTGGTAACCACATTTCAATAAATAGATTACAATATTGGAGGGCATGTCATTAATGATTTAATTTGTATTCTCTTTTTGAGACAAACAAATCAAAAATTTTAATTGTTTTGTTGGATATACCCGTACTCCTACATGCATAGCACATTGCACAATTAAATTCACCTGCACCTGAGGAAGACCCAGAACGTGTTGAAACGTGTTGTGCCACTGTTTATATATATATATATATATATATATATACACACACACACCAATATATATATATATATATATATATATATACATACCAATAAATAGTGTGGTTACTATTACTTACCATGAACTGCAGAGTTCCTGTTTTTAACAGCAGAGAATTTCTGGACTAACAGACATGTAATTGTAACCAGACAACTGGACGTACAGGAACAGAGAGGTGGAGGGCCTTGCTCAATGAGCTTACATTCTAGACGGAGTGGGGTATAGCGACACCAAGGGTAAAATGAGGGGTACGAAGTAGGTTGTTAGAAAAGTATTCACTGAGGGCTTAGTAGGTAATTTTTGACAGTTGCAGGAGAGGAGTCATGGGGGTTGGGGGATAAAAACCTGCTAACAGTTTAATTACATAGTTACTTAGTTACATAGCTGAAAAGAGACTTGCGTCCATCAAGTTCAGCCTTCCTCACATTTGTTTTTTGCTGTAATCCAAAAGAAGGCAAAAAATAAATAAAAAAAATCCAGTTTGAAGCACAATTTTGCAACAGCTAGGAAACAAAATCCTTCTTGACCCCAGAATGGCAGTCAGATTTATCCTTGGATCAAGCAGTTATTACCCTACATTGAAAGATTATATATAGCATATAATTGATATGCTTTCTTGAAGAAGTGAGTTTAAGGATTTTTTGAACGAGTGGAGACTGGGTGAGAAGGAGAAGGAGAAGGCAAGGGTGTTCCACAGAAGAGGTGCAGCCCTTGAGAAATCTTGGAGCTGAGCATTAGAGGTGGGAGTAAGGACAGAGGATATACGTAGGTCTTTGGCAGAGCGTATGGGTCTCGACGGGACATACTTGTGTATTAGGGAGGATAGGTAGGTTGGAGCTGCATTATGTAGGGACTTCTAAGCAAGCACAAGGATTTTAAATTGAGCCTAATATCTAACTGGAAGCCAATGCAGGGACTGACAGAGAAGGGAGGCGTGGGAGGTGCGAGCGGACTGGAAAATGAGCCTCGCTGCCACATTCATTATAGATTGCAGCGGTGAAATCTGGGAACACATAAGACCACTGAGAAGGGTATTGCAGTAGTCAAGGTTAAATAGGGGCATATGCACGATATGTTTTTGAGATGGAAGCGACAGGATTTGGTGATTGATTGGACATGAGGGGTGAAGAAGAGGTTCAAGTCCAAAAGAACACCCAGGCAGCAAGCCTGCGAGGTAGAGGTGATGGTAGTGCCGTTGACTTGGAAGGAGACAGACACAGGAGTAGTAACACTTGAGGGAGGAAAGACTAGAAGTTCTGTTTAGGACAGGTTGAGTTTAAGGAAGTGAGCAGCCTCCCAGTTGGAAATCGAAGAGAGGCAGTCATAAGTTCAGAGCCAACTTTTAATGGGTTCTGAAAATTGTGAGTGTTCTGATTTTCAATATATTGACACCCATTTTTTATTCAGATTATACTATGTGCTGTTTTATGTTTGTTTGTTTCATACAGGAAATTATATATTTCTTTTGTTATAAAGTTAATATATTGAAAGGTAAATAGAAACTATGGGTGCGCAGATCACCTTTTATTTGTATTTAATGTTGGTGCTAAGATGTTCAGACACACAGCTACAAACACTGACACACATGCAGATACTCAGATACCACACTGGCTACATACAGATATGCACACAGATACACACACTGACAACATACAGATACACAGACAGATAAACTCACAGGCATACTGACACACAAATACATACAATGTCAGCCATACTGACACACACACACACACACACTGACACTCACATACAATGACAAACATACTGACACACAAAGATGCATACACTGACTGGCATACTGACACACACACACTGATAAACATGATGATATACATGCGTGTGTTAGTATGTCTATCAGTGTATGTACCTGTGTGTGTTAGTATGTCTGTCAGTGTATTTGCCTGTGTGTGTTTGTGTCAGTATTTCTGTCAGTGTATGTAAATGTATGTGTGTGTCAGTATGTCTATCAGTGCATGTGCATGTACATTTACATACACTGACAGAAATACTGACACAAACACACACACACACACACAGGCACATATACTGACACATACAGATAGAAACACTGACAGACATCCTGACAGATACACACAGACATACTGACACACACAGGCACATACACTGACAGACATACTGACACACACACACAGACATACTGACATACTGACATACACAGCTACATACACTGTCAGGCATACTGACAAACACACAGATACACAGACAAACAGACAGACAAACTGATACATGTATGTCAGTATGTCTGTGTGTGTAACATTTAATTTTTAAATCAACCCTCCAGTTTCCCACCTTTTGCTGGAGGGTGACTTCCATGGGGTCCAGTGTGGTGCCTTAGGCTGATGGGAGTGAGGAGCCCCCATCCTCACTGCCTCCTATCTCACATGCGGCTTCTCCTGTACCCTCCCGCACAGCAGCAGCTCCTCTTTTTATGGTAGGAAGTGACTTGCGGCTGTCACTTCCTTCCATGCTGCTGAAAAGCAAGGGGCCCACTGTTAAAGGGCCACTTTGCTCAATCTGGCACCTGCTGATACAAGCCCACCTGGTGGCCATAAGTGCATGGGCCACCCGGTGGGACTCCTTAGAGTGCTGTGCCCAGCTGCATCTGTGGGGTGGAAAAATTTATTGAGATTAGCAGGGCCCACAGGGCAGCTGCCTTGGGCCCCCCAGAAGTAACAGTTCTGAGGCAGTTGCCCTGTTTACCCTGCATTAAAAACGGCCCTGAGGGCCCACAAGTTTAAAGCTTGGGGGGGGGGTCCAAGGCAGCTGGGCATCTCTGATCAGGGGCCTGACCAGGTTGGTACTGCAACACTTTAATAGTGCGACTTCACTCCTGTCAAATCAGCAGTGCTGGGAGGAAGTGACGTCAGGTCAATTTCTCCCAGATAACAGAGGATCACACAGGGAAGGCTAGGAGGAGACAGAGAAAAGAGAGGATGGGAGTGCCTGTACCAGACCTCCATGATCCTCAGCCAGCAGCCAAATCTAGACCTCATGGAAACCACCATCCTGCACTCACAAATATGTATCAACATATAATCAATTATGACTTGTGCGTTACTGTCAATATGTGTATCTGTGTGTGTCATTGTGTATGATTCTCTGAGTCAGTATGTGTATATGGCAGTGTGTGTGGCAGTGTGTATCTGTGGTAGTATGTATGTGTATTTGTGTGTGGCAAAAAGTACGTGTATCTGTGTCAGTATGTGTGTGTGAGTGAAAGTGTAAATGTTCATAAATCCCACTGCATTCGAACTCCAACACTATATACAAATACTTCCCCGCATTCAAAAAGCCAACACTACAAGCAAGCACACAACTGCATTCAAACACCAACATTGCAAACACAAGTACACACCTTCATTCAATTATCAACACTTCACACAAATCATACCTCTTTGGCTCTAGCCAAGGTTAGCACCCCTACAGCAATGCCCTTTAAAGTGAAACTGAAAGATACATTTCAAAGAGTTATTTACAAATATAGATTTAAAAAACTCTGCAAGTAAAATTTCCACTGTAACTGGTGAAAGCATACAAATGTATAGAATTCAGATTTGATAGATATATGGTAGATCACATTGAAGAATGAGTTAGCTCTTAAAGCGACACTGTAGGCCTGCAATCCTGCCCCCAGTCCAACCCTCCAAAAACCTAATATTAAACTAATCAGAAGGCTTGGAAGCATAGCTTCAACCCATGCTTCCAAGTCCTCTGGATATGAGACTAAGGATTCTTACTTCTCCACTCTCATACCATAACATACCGTTCCATCACGCACGCATGCATGGTGCCATCACGGTTGGCTATAGAGAATCATTGTTTTCATTATCTCTATGGAGTTAACATTATGTTCCCCAATGCTCCTCTATGAGGAGAATATTACTGGCACGGCATGCCTCCTGGTTGACACAAGTAGGGAGATTTTTGCAGCAGCGCCAAGGGAGACTCTGTGTTTGAGAACAGGTGAGTAGCTTGTTTATCATTTAATTTTATTTTTTGTATAGATGTATATTTTTTGTATAGATTTTGTATAGGGACACCAGGACTGTAGCATCAGGGATACACATATAGTCCCAACGCAACAATGTTCCTTTAAACAGGTTATAGCCGGCCCTAAAATAACAGCTAAATAGATGTTATTCAACATTATAATGTATGACTATGTGTCCATGTTTCTATGGTACCAGTTTACTTAAATACCTTTAATGACATTTAATGTTCGTTATAAGGGATTATTAAAGTAATTCAACTACCAGACATTAATGTGTCAATTACCCTTTGTGGTACAATTGAATTAAAAAAAAAAAAAAAAAGAGCACGATAACAGGAAGAGCCATTGTTTGACTCTTTCTGTTTGACATTTTCCATCTCGGCATAAATATTACTTTTCTGGAAAATATTTCACTCAAAATACAATAGTAAACAAGTGTGCAAATCATGAAGTAAAAAACCTTGAAAATATAAATGGTTTAGTTAGGGATCAGGTATAACTGTATCTGGTAGAGATTGCTAAAAGCACATTGAAATAAGCTGAATAATTGTTATTTATTCATTCTATTGTTGGTTTACATTTACTTAAACTTGCAGGGAGTAAGAAAAGAAAGAAAAAGAGAAGAGAGGAAGAAAAAGTGTTTTAGAAAGTGGATTGGTGGGAGGGTCATTCAAACGCTGACCTCGAACGGTATGAAGCCAAGTAAGGGGTGTTCCTTAAATAGGTAATTGTACAATAAGCCCCTCCCACAATTACAGGCCAAAAGGCATTAATACACACACACACACACACACATATATATCTATATCTACGTATATATAGATATAGATCTATAGAATCAAAATATAATTTAATATCTTTATTTTAAACGGTCAAAGAACATGGGAATTAGTGTTATAAAATATATCTGTGAAGACAAGACTCAAATTGATATCAAGAGCATGTTTTGTAAAACAATTATAGATAGTGAAACAAGGGGGTAATAGTGTTTCACACAAACAAAATGATAAACAATTCATGGCAGCTCCATGAAGGATGAGATATAACAGGAGTTGATTTAGACTAACATTTTATCTTTTGTTTCTTTACATTCATGAGATATATACATGGAACAAACAGGACAATGTTAATGCAAACTTAGAATGTAATGTAGAGTCAAAATAAGTTAAAAAAACAATGTTTTTTCCTTCTATAAAGACTCCAAAAATATGTATCATAAAAATATGTAATAATTTAAAAGTTAATTTAATATATCTTAAGGAGTTATTAAAAGCACCATAACCACTTTAGTGATTTGAAGTGGTCATGATGCTTGGGGCCTGTTTCTGTAGTGATTCACTATAAATCAGTATACATATAGAAATATAGCACTTTGCTGTTGGAGATATAACTTTGTGCATAAAGTGAGGGAGAGATTAGTTGCAACAGCTTCTTGTACCTCCCTGTAAGGATAAGGCTAAATCCTAACACTTAGAACTTAGTCCAGACTTAAAACTGCAGAGGAAAGGGACTGAGTGTCCTATGGTCCTTTGGGTTGACCAGTTTTAACATAGATATGACAATCTAAAGGGCAAAAAAAGTAATTTGTATAATAATTCAGAGGTCAGAGAAACATGCACTTGATCGATATAACTAGCCAAGGTCTGTGAGAAGGTACACATAGTCAAGTAAACCTAGTGTCCGATCAGGAAGCACAATGAACATATAATGTGTTATGGGATATTTAAGAAGAAAACTATGACAGGGTAAAGTACTGTTTGTGGAGAGGGTTTAATTAGGTATTAGAAAAACCTTGGTCAGGATTATAATTTGTCTGACTCGGGAGCACTTAATTGACACAATTAATGGAAGCTTCATATAATGATGCAGAGGAGCAGAGTCTAGCATCAAAATTCATGCCACAATGGGAAATGTTGGAAAAATCAGTTTAAACAGGTAATGGGACACTTCTATTTGTAGTAAAGCCACTACCACCCTGCAACTGAAAGAAAACATGAACAAGTAGGTAAAACACATTTGGGTGATTTCTTTTATCATTATAATATAAAAAAGAGCCAAACAACGATGTGATAATAAATGACTTCATATGATCACCCTCCTTTAATAAAACAAAACAATTTTTGCATGATCAATCAGATTTTCTAAATCAATGCCAAATTGTCACAATTTCAGCCAGGGTATGCAAGCTTTTGAGCACAACTGTACACCAGAGACTTTTAAATAATCTATGGGGATTGTGGAGGATTGTGAGATTGGTAACATGAGAAAATCCAGACTATTTTGTTTTGTTTTTTTGGTCTGAATGTGATAATACATTGTCTCTGTGGATGCTATTTTTTTCCCCAACACTCTAGTGCAATTTACTATGTTGTTAGCAAATTATATGAGACACATGGCTATTTATATTTTAAAGGTATATACAGTATCTCACAAAAGTGAGAACACCCCTCACATTTTTGTAAATATTTTATTATATCTTTTCATGTGACAACACTGAAGAAACGACTCTCTGCTTCAATGTAAAGTAGTGAGTGTACAGCCTGTATAACAGTGTAAATTTGCTGTCCCCCTCAAAATAACTCAGCACACAGCCATTAACGTCTAAACCATTCGCAACAAAAGTGAGTACACCCCTAAGTGGAAATGTCCAAATTGGGCCCAAAGTGTCAATATTTTGTGTGGCGACCATTATTTTCCAGCACTGAGTTAACCCTCGTGGACATTGAGTTCACCAGAGTTTCACAGGTTGCCACTGGAGTCCTTTTCCACTCCTCCATGATGACATCATGGAGCTGGTGGATGTTAGAGACATTGCACTTCCCCATCTTTCATTTGAGGATGCTCCACAGATGATCAATAGGGTTTAGTTCTGGAGACATGCTTGGACAGTCCCTCACCTCTACCTTTAGCAAGACAGTGGCATTATTGACAATATTGACAATAAAGAGTTTATCCCTGGTTCCATTTATTCTATTTTAAAACCGTGAGAGAAGGGACCTTAAAAATTAAACAAGGAAGT